TGTTCAATCTAAGAATTTCTCTCAACCTCACCGACTCTGGAACTCCAAAGAAATATCAGTCAACACCAAAATCAAGATTTTGAATACAAATGTCAAGACAGTTCTACTGTATGGGGCGGAAACTTAGAGAACTATTAAAGCCAACATCCAGATGATACGAGTATTTATTAACAGATATCTACGCAAAATACTTCGGATTCGTTGGCCAGACACGATCAGCAACAACGAACTGTGGGAGAGAACAAACCAGATTCCAGTGGATGAGGAAATCAGGAAGAAGCGGTGGAAGTGGATAGGACACGCATTACGAAAAGCACCGAACTGCATCACAAGACAAACTCTCACATGGAACTCTCAAGGCAAAAGGAAAGAGAAAGGCCAAAGAACACATTACACAGAGGAAAAGGACACACACACATGAGAGGAATGAACAAAAATTGAACAGAATTTGAAAAGGAAGCCCAGGACAGAGTTGGTTGGAGAATGCTGCTGATGGTCGGCCTATGCTCGATTGGGGGTAACAGGAGAAAGTAAGTAAGTAAGTAAGTCAACCACTGTCTTCGTTAGTTTCTGTATACATCTGACAGGATTGAACTCCACTGATCACGTTTCCTCAGTGGAATTTATAATTCATATATCGTGAAGTTTCACAAAAACCTTAGATTGATCAGAGTTGGATGCTGGCCCTTTGGTCCAGAGGTTAGGGGCTCACGCGCAAGAAAGAAAATCCATGTTTTCAATCCTGTGGGTGACAAGATGCATGAATACGCACTACTGATGAATCTAATACCAAGACGAAACCGCTGTCCCATACTTCAGGTTTCTAACACTAATCTTAACATGATACGGATTTTCTAATGTCTACGAAACTCAATAATTCTCCGTGTAATTAACTGTATATTAGAAAATGATTGTTTAATTTTTATTTTCATCACATTAGCTCAATAGTGGTATGTTCAAGAGTAGAAGATGTTCGTAGGTTTACTAGTATTCAATCATAGATGTGTCTCCGAAGGGCATTGCTCGGTATATCGTGGACAACCGAGTAAGCGAATGCTGTTGTTAAGAAAACGAGTACTAGGTAAGTGATGCAGCATGAAAGTAGTGAAACTTCATCAGTTGAGGTGCGTTTGGGACATGTGTTACGCATACCCTAACCACCGACTGCCTCGACGAGCTATGTTTGTGGTGTAGGAGTAGATTGGAAGAAATCCATGGCGCGGCCAACCAAAAACATGGCAGAAATCCATGAAGTCATCTGACAAGTGGACTCGAGTCATGTTGGTAGATGTAGGCACTACCTGGTTTGGGTCCAGCGGGACGAAGTCACCAATGGTTAGAGACCTTGATGACATGGCCTCAGAATCGTTTGCGGTGGCGCCGGTGACATTTATTCTTTGTGTTCTCTCAAATCCTAATGCTACTGGATTCGTCAGCACCTTCTACTTTATCTTGTCTAACCTTATTTCACCTAATATATACTTCTTGAATAATATCTTCAAACCCTATTCTTCTTCATACCATTAATACCTCTACTATCGTTATCACTATGAGATTTGATTTGACTTCTGCGTCTTTGTGCTAATGTGGTATGGTAACTTGAACTGAATTTACATACGTACGAAGTTCTACGTTGCAAACTGACTGACTGCATAGTGTTATGTGTAATTGTGCAAGACCATATTAGTTAACGATATCTACAGCATTTATGTTAAGCTTCGTCATATTTATTTGTTCAACTAGGTAGTATTTAACCTCCTGTATTAAGACAAATTGTTTGAAAAGAATTAAAATTATTTAATGAAATTAATTATATTTTATGATTTAACAAATGTGTGTTTAAGTTTAAAACTTCAAAATGTTATACGCAAATTCATAACACACCATACAATACCGCAGCTTTAGGCATAAAAGTTTCTGTTTTTGTCACATCTTATAACTGATGAGTCATCATTTCAGGTCAAGGTCATGTGGAAATAAGAAAAAGCGTCTGTCTATTCCGCATACAAAAGAAAAACTCTCTTCTCTATTAACGTATCGAATCAACCACACACATACACAACACAGTTAGTAGGTGTGTATGTATGTGTATGTGTATGTTGAGAAATTTCGTTATGGGTGTATTATTTATTTCATTTGTATATATGGATTGTAATGACAGTCAATGAATAATTGCATATATATATAGACGACAAATCTTTAACATCTCATCTTTAAAACCTCCTTATTTTCTACAGATTACGTGTACAACAACAAAACCAAACAGCATAATATGACAAGATTGTATATATGATTAGATAAGATTAGACGATATGGTAAATAGTTTTTGGTTAGTGAAAGTTGTTAATAAAATTGATTGAAATTTTTTTCAGTCTTGTTGTTGGTTAGTATATGATCATTCTATGTGGATTGCCTTAATATATAGTCATTATGATACAAGTTTATATAAGAAGTTTGATGGGTCATAGTTTTGTAGGTATTGCGTTTGTCCACACCGGAAATCATCAATCAATCACATTGTTAGACCACCATTTAGAATCCTGTGTAAACACTGGTATGGGTGTTTTCGTCCTGGTATGGGGTTCATCAGCAGTGCGCATCCACGACTCCTGCACCTCCGCAGGGTTTGAACCCAGGACCTTTCGGCATTGTAGCTCGGAACGCCTTGCCATCGGACCCACTGAACCGGCATCCAATGGTGTTAATGTCTAACTCTGATTGATCTAGGGATTTTGTGCGACCTCACTCATTTGTCCTTTGTGAGTTTACTGCCTACACCAAGTTTGGACTTCATTCCGTTACGTACTTCCCCACAATAGAACTCCGAGAAATTTCTTCTCACGAAGCTAACTCACTAGTGAAGTCACTGTTACGATATTCTGGGGCAGAGTTTTGGAGGTTTGTGTTTTTACACATTGGAAAATCAATTATTTATATAAGCAAAGGATAGAATGTTGTGTTTAGTGAGATTTGTCGGATGAATGTACTTGTGACTTAGAGTTGATTCTGTAGAAATTTGTGTGGTAATGGGTTTAATTTAATAGAGTTACGGAGATTTAGTGATTTTTTACATATTTGAAATTTATCAATCATTCATTGTTAGACCATCATTAGTAACCTGGAAGCACTGAAGGACGATCGTTTCGTCCCTTTGTGGTATGGGACTTATCAGCAGTGCTATCCATGACTCCTGTACCCCGCAGGGATTCGAATTCAGGGCCTTCGGGAGGGGACACCAGCCTACGCTTTACAAAATTTCTTGTACGTCTATCGGACAACACCAAATGAATTGTTACCGGGGCAAAAGTCCCCAGCAGAAATCATGATGGGAAGAAGACTGAAAACGATCCATAGCCTGATGCATCCGACTAATGCACCGACATTAGTAGAGACAAAGCTGAAAAGACAATCCGTTTACGAAGTGGGATGCCTTGAGTTTGCCCGTGGCTACAGAAAGAACTATGGTCCTCGGGCAGAAGCGAGAGTGGTCAGAAGAGTTGGTCGAGTTATGTACGAAGTAGAGATAGGAGGTGATCAATGGTCACGTCATCGAAATCATATACGCAGACGGCTAGCCCCAGATCGCCCATCAAGAGCAGAAAGCCTTCCCCTTGACATCTTGCTTGATACTTTCAACCTACCGGCAGCCCCGCCACGAGAAGAAACTCAGCAGCAAGTTGTTCTTCGTCCCCGAAGGTATCCTCTCAGACAGCGGCGAACGACAGTCAAGATGCAGGTCGACCCCAGGAGCACACGCTATTAAAAAGGGGAGGAGTGTTGGGGATGTTAGATCCCCAAAATTCGCTTGATGAATGCCGTATTTCGGTTTTCGCGTTTGCGAGCATGGGCTGATCAGTTGACCTTGAGATTTCAATTCCCACCAGGAAAATCCATGGCTGTGATTGGCTGCTGTGTATTTTAGTGTGCTATTTTCTTAACTGTCTCGAGGACGTTTCTATGTAGTATAAATAAACGAGAGTTGTATGCTTGATTGTACTGTGTGATTGCTGGGTGTTTGTAGAATATACTTTCTACGCTTACAAAGCCTTCTTACTTTATTTGGGGATTGAAGGTAGCCTATGTGGACGCTGGTTCATTGTCTCGTTCGCGCTTATCGACTAAGGTAAACTCGTAATAGCCTCAAGCATACTTAGTGACGAACTTATCAAAAAACATTAGTATAGTTTTTATTTTTGAATTCATGAATCAATCAGTATTAGACCACTATTTGGAAAAACTGGATGCACTAGATGGCATTTTGCTCCCAGCAATCAGACTAATTCAATTGTGCTTACCCACCCACTCTGCAACTCGTAGGATCGAACTCGGAACCCTTCGGTCTTGCGTGTGAACGTCAAACCTCTGAACTGGTAAGCCAATATCTAACAGTGTTTGAACATCGTTTGGTGAATGCACACTTTTTGATGCATCGGATAGTGGGACGAAACGGACATCCAGTGCTTCCATGTTCTAATAATAGTAGTCTAACCTTGAACGATTCATGATTTCAAGAACTGACTGACTAATCTCAACAACTGAATAGGTATTTGTGAAATGTCAGATGTCAATTATCAACTCTGTTATCAAACAATATTCAGAATAAGAATATTGGTGTATTAATTAGCCAAAGCTTTGAGGTTGATAGTGAAACAAATAGCCAAGTCATAGTACAACTATAAGTGATAATTAATATTTAAAATGTCAGATCATTGTTGAGATAATTTTTGAAATCATGAATCGATCAGTGTTAGACCAGCATTAGAAACCGGGAAGCACTGAATAGCCGTTTCGTCCTGGTTCGGAACTCATTAGTAGTGTGCATCTATGATTCCTACACATGGGGACTTAACGAGAACGGCAACTAACAGTATTATTGTCTAAATTCGATCAATCCACGTTCTTGCGCAACCTCATCGTTAGATGCTGACTCTGTGGTCTAGAAGTTAAGCATTCTCTCGCAAAACCGAATATCTTTCCTAAAACGTATGAATTCATGATACATGCAAATTACAGAGTTACTCAGTAAAATAGGAAAACCATATCGTAAACGCGTAATTTGCAAATCATCATCATCATCATCATCATCATCATCATCATCATCATCATCATCATCATCATCATCATCATCATCATCATCATCATCATCATCATCATCATCATCATCATCATCATCATCATCATCATCATCATCATCATCATCATCATCATCATCATCATCATCATCATCATCATCATCATCATCATCATCATCATCATCATCATCATCATCATCATCATCATCATCATCATCATCATCATCATCATCATCATCATCATCATCATCATCATCATCATCATCATCATCATCATCATCATCATCATCATCATCATCATCATCATCATCATCATCATCATCATCATCATCATCATCATCATCATCATCATCATCATCATCATCATCATCATCATCATCATCATCATCATCATCATCATCATCATCATCATCATCATCATCATCATCATCATCATCATCATCATCATCATCATCATCATCATCATCATCATCATCATCATCATCACATCATCATCATCATCATCATCATCATCATCATCATCATCATCATCATCATCATCATCATCATCATCATCATCATCATCATCATCATCATCATCATCATCATCATCATCATCATCATCATCATCATCATCATCATCATCATCATCATCATCATCATCATCATCATCATCATCATCATCATCATCATCATCATCATCATCATCATCATCATCATCATCATCATCATCATCATCATCATCATCATCATCATCATCATCATCATCATCATCATCATCATCATCATCATCATCATCATCATCATCATCATCATCATCATCATCATCATCATCATCATCATCATCATCATCATCATCATCATCATCATCATCATCATCATCATCATCATCATCATCATCATCATCATCATCATCATCATCATCATCATCATCATCATCATCATCATCATCATCATCATCATCATCATCATCATCATCATCACATCATCATCATCATCATCATCATCATCATCATCATCATCATCATCATCATCATCATCATCATCATCATCATCATCATCATCATCATCATCATCATCATCATCATCATCATCATCATCATCATCATCATCATCATCATCATCATCATCATCATCATCATCATCATCATCATCATCATCATCATCATCATCATCATCATCATCATCATCATCATCATCATCATCATCATCATCATCATCATCATCAATCCATTGTCTGACATTTCATTATTCATGCGTTTCATACAAATTCCATTGTATTCCCACTCTTCTTCCTTTCTCTTGATCTTCCCCAATCTTCTGCTGCCAGACATTACGTTGACACTCACGTCATATACTACTTATAAGTAGCGCGCACCACAAAAGCATTATCATTTTAAGATTAAATTGTAAATCTATTTACACTAATTTGACCATTTCTTCTTAGTCATATCATTCAAAGTCTCAAATAATTGAATACGATAATCGGGTTCACTGAAACATAGTCTTCAATAGAGATGTAAGCATTACTCAAACGAAAATTCATTGACTCCATTAACTGATCCCATTTTTTAGTTTAGCCTATTCTGGATTTCATTCAACCTAATTCTGTATTCACAAGCAATGCCTGGCAAGGTCAGTAGTACTTGAACGATAATGTAATGAATATCTTATCCACTTCAGCCTATGTAGATTCATTATCATATTAACTGATGTTTTAATTAAAATCATGAATCGATTAATGTACTTACTAGTGACTAGTAAGTTCTAGTAAGAAGATATGACTAGTAGAGTTCAACCCTATCGAATATGAGGCCGTTGTTACCTACCGAAGACAGTAGGTGAGATTTTTCAATACCTTGAATTGATTCAAGTTAGTTATTAGCACTGTTGAATGCTGGCTCAATAGTCTAGTGGTTAAGAGTTCGTGCGCGAGACTAAAGATCTTGCATTTGTTCCTCACATATAGACGGATGAAATGGCCGTTCAATGTTTCCAGATTTCCAATCGTGCTCTTAACATTGATCGATTCCTTATTTCAATGATTTATGCTAATTATCGAATACTTAGGAATTTAACTGCAATACTGCTAAATGACAATGAAGTAACGATGAGAAGACTGAGGCAGGCGAGGAAGATTGTATTATGTAAATTTACACTCTGAGTTAGTTAAAAACGAAAACATTACATTGAATACTCTCTATTTGCACACCATGTTTGAGTCGTGACTTCCAACACTCCATCATCATTCTTCCATTCCTGTTGTTGCTTTCTTTCCTTCCTGTTGGTACTCCATTTACTTCTTGCTTTTGCTCCATTTGCTTTCCGTTTCCCTCTTCTGACCGTGAGACTTCTTCTTCTTTCACGTCCCTTCTTATACTACTACTTATATTGTTCGTATAAGTAGCACACACCAAAACACTGTTCTTGTACTTATTCATTTTCAGGCTGTACTAATAATAGTTAATAACTTATGTGTTAAATCTAGAAAAAAATATTTTTAATTATTCTCGATGACAAATGTTCACATGTAATGAAAATGTTTCACTAATAATCACAAATAATCATCTATCCTAATAACAGAATGAACATTTTGTCATATTTCTAGGATCAATGAATAAGAATAACTGAAAGATAATCAAAGGAATAGTCAAGATGATGATTACTACTCACACATACTTGCGCACAAATATACGCGCCAACACACACACATATATCCGTCGAGTAAGTGGTACGTACATAAAAGCTTGAATTATTCATTAGGTTGGGCGTTTGTTTATTTAATAACTTAATTAGTTAGTTAGTTAGTTAGTTGGTTAGTTACTTGGCTACAACTGTTATTTCTTATCAATAATGGTAAACGATAGTTTAACATTGATAATTATGAACATTTTATTTTAAATGGTTTCTTCTATTGGCAACAATGAATCCGGAAAACACACCCACACTTCAATACTGAGTGTAATAAATCATTTTGAAATTGATAATTTTGAAAGAAATATATTTATATAATGACAATTGAATAATTGAACATAGTGTGTTTAAATGAAACAAAACAGCTTACATGAACATATCAACGGATTATGTAATCGTTCGTCTGTCTTTCAAATTGTGTGTATGTGCCAAAGTGTATTGTTGGAATTTGTATTAGTGTTGTGTTGAATTTACCATTATGGTTTTTATTTCAACATTTCTGAATAAAAAACAACATATAAACTATGTTTACAAGTCATAAATAAAATTGTTGTCCAAAATTTAGTGGTTTATTATTTTAAGGGAGTATGATTTGAGTTAAACAGTTGTTGAAAAAATAAAGTAAGTATGGAAAGATGTTGTGCCCTAGTGTGGTGCGCGCTACTTATGAGTAGTATATGACGTGAGTGTCAACGTAATTTCTGGCAGCAGAAGATGGGGGAAGATCAAGAAAGGAAGAAGAGCGGGAACACAATGAGATTTGTATGAAATGCATGAATAGTGAAATGTCAGACAATGGATTGATGATGGATTGAAGATTTGCAAATTAACCGTTTACGATATGGTTTTCCGATTTTACTGAGTAACTCTGTAATTTGAGATAGATACAATTCGGTTGCCCTCACTTGTGTTCTCCTTCACTACACTAGTATAGGACTCTTCAGTTTAGTTGTGCTTGGGATTGAATCTTCTAAGTTCTGGTCATACAATACGTGCAGATATTCTTGAAATCACTTGAATCAGTATTCAGTGTGGCGTGTATATTTAGTTTCATTCTACTCAGGATATTAAAGGTACTCAGCTCTCAATAATATCATTGGGTAGGTACACTGTATCGTGTCCAATATGGAGTACTTACGCCTGTTACCCCCCCTTTCTCCAATGGAGCATAGGCTGCCTGTCAGTATTCACCCTTTTCGGTTTTGTCCAATTTTTGTTCATTCTTCTTATGTCTTTCTCTGTTTCTGGGCGTAATATGTTCTTTGGTCTTCCACTTTTCTTTTGTCCATGAGGGTTACATGTGAGGGCTTGTCTTGTGGCTCAAGCGATTTCCTCAATGTTTGTCCTATTCACTTCCAGCTCTTCTTCCTGATTCCCTCCTACACTGGTATCTGGTTTGTTCTCGCCCACAGTAAGTTGTTGCTGATGCTGTCTGGCCAACGGATTCGAAGTATTTTGCGTAGGAAAACTGTTATGGAATACTTGTATATTCTAGATGATGTTTTTCACAGTTCTCCAAGTTTCCAGCCCATACAATAGTACTGTCTTGACATTTGTATTGAAAATCCTGATTTTGGTGTTGGTTGATAGTTGTTTTGACTTCAGGATGTTTTTCAATTGTAGAAATGCAGCCTTCGCTTTGCTGATCTACGCCTTCACGTCTGCATCAGATCCACCTTGATTGTTGTTAATGATGCTACCCAGATTTGTAAAAGTTCTTGTGTCCTCCAAGGCATCTCCATCAACAATGATTTGATTGTTGGATGTTGTGTTATATCGGAGAATCTTTCTTTCCCTTTTATGTATGTTGAGATCTGCGACTGCTTAGGCGGTTGCGACACTGGTTGTCTTCTTCTCTTACAAAATATGAGTTGTTGAATACTTTTACTATTAAGCTGTCTTTTACAACAACAAAAGTATTTGTCATTTTCACTGATTGTTTAGCTAACGTCAACCCAATTACAGAAACTGTAAAAATTCAAAATTTTTAAAAAGTCTAATCTGATAACGAAAAGTTAATTTTTAACTGAATAGAATTAAAATTAGTCGAAATGTTTATTGATATGTATATATTTCGAAATATTGTGTGTCAATCCTCTCAAAAATCATTCATGTGTTTCATTGCAAATTCATGAACTGAAGAGGAACAATGAAAAACTACACTGACTAGTCATCATTATAGTATTTATTGAAACCATGAATGGATTAATGTTAGGCCAACATTAGAAACCTGGAAGCACTGAAAGGTGGCCGTTTCGTCTGGTATGGGACTCCTCAGCAGTGCGCATCCACGACTCAATGCACCCCACAGGATTCCAACCCAGGACCTTCGGTATTGTAGGCGAACGCCTTACCAATAGGACCACTGAGCCGCGTATCTAACTGGTGTTTAATATCTAACTTGATCAATTCACGGAGTTTGCGCAAACCTCATACACAGTCTTCGGTAGTTACTGTCTACACCCGAAACAGGTTGAACTTCACTGGTCACGTCTTCCCACTAGCAATTCGGAGAAGATTCCTCACGAAGCTAGTCACTAATGAGCATAGGTAATTTGCATTACGGGGTTGTTGTGAAGAGTGTTAAGTTTATTGAGGAGTCCCATACCAGGACGAAACGGCACCTCCAGTGCTTCCAGGTTTCTAATGGTGGTCTAACATTGATCGATTCATGGTTTCAAAAATGTGTAACCCTAAAAATCTTCACAACCTCGTAATACAAATTATAGTATTTGTTTGGTCATTAGTATTAATCCTCTTCTATCGGTTAGATTGTCACGTGGCCATATTAGTCTAAAAGACTCGATATCACAAGGATCCTGCTGATAGTTTGAATCAATAGAGATTAGAAAAATAGAAAAACCATTCATCTGTATCACGTGATATTAGTAGGAATTTTCTTATCGGGACATATTTTTTAATGTGGGTTGACTTGTACGCTACTGTTAGCAGCTATGGTGATTTGATTTATTTAGCCTAATAGATTTTTTTTTACAAAATATTCTGTATTCTGATTAATGGAGATGTGGAGTCGGTTGTGTTCTCTGAGCGGATGTTTTAGTTTGAGTTATGGAACTTTCATTATTCTTCGGGGAGACATCATCATCAGCACAAACCTTCAGGTAGAGGTGAAGTATTCGAAATTCTCCACGTATCATTCGATAGTTTGTGTTCTGTTTAACTTCGACTTGATTGGGTTGTGGATTGACCCTGTCTTCGTGTGCACGTTAATTTTGTGATCATATGCCGCTTTGATCAGTTAAATCTGGAGAATTTTAAATTCTTCACTTCTGCCTGAAGTTTATGCTGCTGATGATGATGTTTGTTTCAGACAAACAATGAAAGCTCCATGTTGGAGATGTTAGATCCCTGAAACTCGTTTGTTAAAATGCCTTATTTTGGATTTCACGTTTGCCGGCATGTGTTGATCAGTTGACCCTGAAATCACATTTCCCACGCGGAAATTCTTGACTGTCATTGGTTGATGTGTTATTTAGTATACCATTAGTGTGACTGTCTCAAGGACGTTTCTATGATGTATAAATAAACGAGTGTTGTGTGTGT